GCAGCAGGAGCAGCGGGGCCTCAGGGTGAGGAGGCAGCAGGCGACTGCACCGGCGCAGGCTGGCCAGGCGAGCCAGGCCAAGCCGCACAGCAGCATGAAGGCACCAGCTCGGAGCAGCGGGCAGCGCCACGCCTCCCCGCCTGCCAGGCCAGCCACCCAGGCCGGCGGCTCGCTCGCCTGGAACAGCTGGCCGCTGCGCAGCAGGAAGCGCTGGTCGTCTGGGGAGAAGCAGACGTCGTACCGGATGCGGCGCCGCTCAAAGACACGCACCGCCAGCGCCCAGAACCACAGCATGGCCAGCATGGGCAGGAAGGGCTGCGCACGGCAGGGCCAGGGGGCGAGCGGCATCAGGGTTGTAGGGGCCCTGGTGAGTAAGGCGAGCATGGCACAGATGCGAGGAAGCTGCTGCATCCTCTCATGAGGGAGGGATGGCAGGCAGAAGCCGCCGGCATCGGCTGGCCAGCAGGCTGCGCGAGATAGCTCTCCAAGTCACGTAAGCACAGCGGCCGGCCGGTCGGCAGCTCCATGGAAGCTACCTGGTAGTACAGGAAGTACAGGTCCTGCCCCAGCTTCCGCATGTCTGCCAGGTACTTGAGAGTGGCCAGTACCAGGCATCCATGCAGCACCGCCCACAGCCCCACCCGCAGCACTGCCGCGGCAGGCAGCCGAGCCCCGCCGCCGCCGCCCCCGCCGGCTAGCATGCCGCCGCTGCGCGTGCGGCCCGACAGCCGGCTGCCGCCGCCGGCAACATCTAGGCTGATGCCCACGCTGGTAGACGAGCAGCAAACAGCCCACGCAGGGAATTCGGCAGCACGGTGCAGTGATTTCTGGCAGGTACCACTGTCATCAAAGTAAAGGCTGGAGTCGCCACTCCTGTGCAGCTCACAACCCTGCCGCTGGCCTCCCAAAAGCAGCAAACCGGCAAATCTGCCTGGTGACAGCAGCACGTCTGCGCATGCCCGCTGACGCTACCCCGCCCACCTGGCGTGCTGCTTGTCGCCCGAGGCGAGCATGCCATCGCCACTCGACTGCCTAGCCCGCACCTGGGCGCTGGGGCTGTTGAGGCTGGTGAAATGCTCAGCCGGGCTGCACCAGGGAGCAGCAACAGTCGGCGGATGCAGTGGCGGCGGCGGCAGCGACGGCGGCGGGCACCGAGCGGGCCAGCAGCCTCACTTCTGCAGAATAGAGCTCGAAGAAGACGTCTTCAGGTTGATCATGGGCGGCCTCTATTCGCCTGGCCGCCGCACTGGGGCCACCTCTGACGCTTGCTCGAACAACGGAGGGGGGACGCTGGTTCAGCGGTGGCCAAACCAATGTACCACGTGCTGGTTTGGCTGCTGCATGCAGCCAACGTTGGGCCAGGAGCTGCTGCACAACTGAACAACAGGCGAGCGCGACAGCAGAGGGCAGGAGAGCTGGAGATGTGTAACTGATGAGGTTGCCACAGGCTGCTTCGATCGTGCGCTTTTGCACAAGGCTCTTGTGCACTGGCGCGGGTGCACTGGCAGTACAAGGCCAGGTGGCAGAATTGGCTCAGGGTCGGCCCTGGCAGCGCCCCCCGCAGATGATCGATATACGCGAAGGCGTACAAATCGATTTACGGCCGTATGAGAGCCACAGAGGCCACACAGCGCTAACTGACTTTCGACTTCGGCCGTCTGACTTTTCTGGGAGGTAAGGAGCTCGTGTGTATGCTTTCCAGGTGATTCTCGAGCATCGGATGCGCTCCCATGCCCCGTACCTGCCGCCTTGCTGCCCCCCCCCCCCGCTTTGTGGGGGTCTGCGCTGCCCTGCGACACCTGGGGGGGAAAAGGGGGGCGGCCCCCCCATCCCCGGTTCACCTTGGGTGGGGGAACGGGCTGCCTGGGTGCGCTGGCCACCCTGGGGGCGCTTTGCCGCAACGGCGGCACGCTTTCCCGCCCCCCGCCCGTTTGGTTCGAAGCCTCGTCCCTGATCGCCTCAAGCGTGCCGCCGGCCCCAGCCGTTCCACATCATCCCTCTCCTGCCGCTGGCTGCTCCCTGCTGCTGTGCAGGCGCGGGGCGTGCGGCTCGGGCGTGCAGGCGTAGGAGGGAGGCGCGCCAGCTGGCGGGATGAGCGCCAAGGAGGCCTTGGCGGCGCACCAGCGCCACCTGGTGCGCAAGGTGACGCATGCGATGCAGCGCGAGGGCCTGCCAGACGACCTGCTCACCGAGTCGGCGGTAGAAGCCCGCTTTTGCGGCGCCACGGGCTTCCCAGAGGCGGCAGACAGCGTGGCGTATGAGCCGACGCAGGGCCTGCTGGCGGTGAGCTGCTGGCTGGCTGGCTGGCTGGCTGCAGAACACGTGGTGCATGGGACGCGCAGGGCAGGGGCCGCGGAGAGGAGTAGGGCGGCGGCGGCGGCAGCAACGCTTCGACTCGTGTGCATGCAGCCTGCCGGCGGCGTCCTTTGCTGCGCCGCCTCCGCCATGCTCTTACCCCTGGTTGCTGCTGGTGGCTCCCACTCCTCTTTCACACACACATGCGCCGCCTGCGCCCGCCCCGCGCCCCGCAGGTGGGCACCAGCGACGGCCGGGTGGTGCTGATTGGGCGGCCCGGCGTGGAGTTCACGCTGCGCTCCGCCTCGCGCTCCCCCACCCAGCACCTGTGCTTCCTGCCGCACAAGGGCGCCCTGCTGCGCGTCACCCAGGACGGCGACTGCCAGCTCTTCTCAGCCGTCTCCCGCCGCCTGCTCACCTCCATCTGGCTGCAAGGCGACACCATCAACTCCGTCACCCTGCTCCCCGGCAGCGACCCATACGTCCTCCTGGGCTGCGAGAGCGGCAACGTGCGCGTCGTGGCGTTGCTCGACGAGGATGGCAGGCCCGCGGCGGGAGCCAAGCCCGCAGCAGACCTGGCGGTGCAGCCGTACCAAGGTGCGGCGGGGCTGGCGCGGGCGGCCGCGCTCCCTGCCGAGCGCTCGGTTCCCGTATGTGCTGCTGCCTGCTTCCCTGCATTCGCCCTGCCTGCTTGGCTGCACTTGCACCTGTCCTGCCTGCCTCACCTGCACACCCGCGCGCTGCCGGGCCCGCCTGCAGTGCTGGGGCAGGAGGTGGATGGCAAGAGCGGCGTGGTGGCGGTGGCGGTGGCGCACTTGCGCGACCGCCCGCTGCTGCTGCTGGTGCACCGCCACTCGGGCGCGCTCATCTGGGACATCAGGCAAGCTGGGGTGCCGCCAAGCGCAGGCGGGCTGGGCTTTTGGCGGGCTGCTGCCAGGCTGGCAGCGTGGGGGGTCCACAGGGCCACGGCTGCTGGAAAGGAGGGGAGGCCCGCATCAGAAAGGAAGACAGAAATGAGGACCGGTTCCCAGGGAGGCTGACGGGGCCTGGCATGCGCCTGCGCCTGGGCCTGCAGGGCGGAGCGCATCTTGTGTGCCGCGATTGATGCCGAGGACGAGCACTCCAAGCCCACCTGCGCCTGCTGGGTGGGCGAGCGCGCCAACTGCTTTGCCGTAGGCTACGACGACGGCAGCATCCTGGTGTGGGGCGTGCCGCCCATGGCGCTGCAAGGTGAGGGCTACTTGTGGGCTGGGTGTTACGGGTTGCTTGCGGGGTGTGCAGCGTGCTGCTGGGCAGCTGCGCAGAACCCAGGCCCAGGCCCTGGAACGAACTTTGAACTGCCGATCGGCTATGTGTTTTTTTAGTATGTGTTGTCGCTTTGGCGGGGCATGCTGGGCCCTTCAGGCGACCCGTTCAAAGTGATAGAGCCCCCAGATGCGCGGCTGCTGATGACGCTGCGGGTGGCGGGGCGCGGCGTGCACGCCGCCGCCGTCCGCAGCCTCAGCTTCATGCCCGGCGGCGGCGGCGCGGGCGCCGCGGAAGACTGCCTGCTGGTGTTTGGAGGGCAGGGGCAGAGCGAGCCAGACATGCTGGCGCTGCTGCCGCTGACGGCGCAGCCAGACGGCGACGGCGGCGGGCGGCAGGTGCCCTGGTTTGGCAACATCAAGGGCCTCTGCACGGTGCGGCCCGGCTGCCTGCACGGGCTGCGGCGCTTGCACTCTGTGGGGCAGCTTGTTACGGGGGCTGCGCAGTGCCCTGCTGCGCACGCGCATGCCTCGTCTTCTGGCTGCGCTGGCAGCAGGCACCCTGCGGCAGCCTGCACGAGTGCCTGATCCGCCGCTCGCCCCGCTCTCTGCCGTCACCCTCTGCCCGCCTGCCCGTCTTGTCCCCGCAGATGCCCGCGCAGGGCGCGCTGTCTGGGTCTGAGCGGCCGCGCGGCCTGATGATCCTGACTGAGGGAGGGCAGCTGGTGGTGCATGACCTCGCCAGCTGGCAGCCCACCCCCCTGACGCTCCCCATCCAGGAGCTGCCTCCCATCACTGTCTCCGCCTTTGTGCCCACCGTCAGCGTGGCGTTGCTGGCGGAGCCGGGAGGCTCCGCCGCCGTGTCGCCTCGCAGCCCGAAGCTGAGCGCCGCCAGCGGCGGGGCCGGCGGCGGCGGCGCGCCCTCGCCCTCGCCGCGCGGCGGCGGGCCCGCCTCGGCGTCCGCCGCCGCAGCCGCCGCGGGCACTGCAGCGGCAGCGGGGCAGGCGCTGCCGCAGCATGCGCTCACGCTGGATAGGGTGCGGGCGTGCAGCCGGCGGGCTGGGCAGCAGGCCGGGGACGCTGGCGCCGGCGGCAGCCACCACCACCACTCCCTGCCCGACCATTGGCCCTTTAGTGGCGGCGAGCCGGCCTGCAGCATGGCAGCCGGCGGCGGCGGCGGCGGCGACGCGGCGGCAGGCACAGCCAAGCGTCACCCATCTGCCCTCTATTTCACAGGCCACCGCGACGGCCGCGTTCGGGTGTGGGATGCCACGGTGCAAGTGCCGGAGCTGCTGCTCACTGTCCCCGCAACAGCGGGCCAGGAGCGGCTGCGGGCTGTCACCGCAATGGAGGTGTGTGGGCTGGGGCTTTGGTGTGGCCAGGTGCCAGGCCTGACTGCCAGCCAGCAGCACTGCCGTGTGTTGCTTTGGGTGCCCGCGGCCGCCGATGGAACTGCCGTCGTCACCAGCCTTGCCCGCAATCTCCCTCCTGAGGGACGCCCTCATCTCTCCACCTCTCCCTCTCCCACCCTCATCCATGCCCATCCAGGTCTGCCCCTTCTCCGGGATCGTGATTGTGGGCCACCAGGGCGGCGACGTGCGGCTGTATCAGTTCACAGAGAGCGCGCAGAGCGTGCAGCGCATGAACATCGACGAAACGCTGCTGCCCTACGGCAACGTGGGGCACCAGGTGGGCGAGCGGCTGCCTGCTGCCTGCTGCGGTGTGGGGTGAGGTGGCAGAGGTGGCGGCAGCGCCAGCTGCAGCATCCCCGGTGCCATTTTGGGGGGTTGTGCCATGTTGGGGGGCATGCACAGCCTCGCGGCTGCCCCCAAGCGCTTCCATCAAGCCCCGCCGCCCACCCACCCTCACCCCTCCACCCGGCTGTGCCTGTACCGCCTGTACCGCAGGCTGGTGGCTTCCAGTACATCATGCGGTATAGCACCCACTCTGCCGACGTCACCGCCGTAGCGCTGGCTACCAAGCTGAAGCTGGCAGCCGTGACAGACGCGGGCGGCAACCTGTCACTGCTGGACCTTCTTCAGCCGGCGCAGGTGACGCCGCTGGGCCCTGAGGGGCTGCTTGGGTGGCCTATAAAGCATCCAGAAGAGCTTGAACCTGCACTCAAGCACTTGTCTCTTGGTTCCTGGCTGGCAACAGCCAAGGTCCCTCTAAGCCACTGCCCTCCAGCCTGCCTATCGACAGTTCGCTGCTTTCCCTGCGTCCCCTGCCTCGTCTGCAGCTCTTCTCCACGCGCGCCATGTCCCAGCCAGTGGCGCAGTTGGTCTTTGGAAGCCACGTGATCCCGGGCCCCACCAAGGAAGACCCGGGCGTGGAGCGGTGGGCTGCGCTGCAGGCGACTTTGCCTGTGTTGCAGGCTGCGCAGGCATCCGCCCCGCTGTCCTGGCGTGCGTGTGCTTGTTCTAGCCATGGCGAGGCTAGCCCAGGTGGCACGGTCCTCCCTGCAGAGCAGAGAAGCTTACTAGCGCCGCTGCTTCCGCCGCCGCTGCCGCCGCTGTATTATCTCGCTGCAGGGTGGTGCTGTTCCTGGCTGGTGCGGACAGCAGCGCGTGCATGGTGGGTCTGGACCGCGGGGAGCCCATCGGGCGCCCCATGCGACCCAAGAACGCCTCCCGCCCGCTGGCCATGGCGCTGCTGGACCCCTCTGGCATCCCCCTGCCGCTCCTGCACGGCCAGCTGGTGCTGCACTGGGCCACCAACAACGCCAGCGGCGGCGCCGCGGGCGGCACGCCGGCGGCGGCCCGCGTGAGCAGCCTGAAGGAGGATGATCCGGCAGTCGCCGGCCGGGTGTCTCGCCTGAGGTGTGTGTGTGTGTGGTGGTCGTGGTGGTGCATGCGGGCGTGCGGGGGTGCGGCCGCAGGAGGGGCAAGGCTGGAGCATGGGCGGTCAACACGCGCGGCTGCTGCCACTCCCTTGCCGTGGCTGCCCAGCCTCCTGTGCCTCCTCCCTCCTCTCCATGCCTCCTCACTGTGTGCTGCCTCTGCCTCCGCCCTACCGCGCGTGCAGCCTGTCCGAGCGCCCCACCTCCACCTCCCCGCTGCCGCACGCCACCTCCCGGCGCTCCACGGGGGCAGACAGCCACCGCAGCTGGTCGCGGGCCGACTCTGGAGAACCTGGTGAGGAGCTGGCAGGCATGCAGGGGTTGTTTATGAGGTTTGGCGGAGGGATGAGGGGCGGGAAGCGGGCGCATGCCTTGCCCCAGCTCCTGCCCTGCCCCCGCTCCCTGTCCTGCCCAACCACGCACGCAACACACACTTTCCCTCTCTTCGCCCGCAGAGGGTGCTGAGCGCGAGAGCTCGGTGGAGGTTCATGAGTTGCCCAGCGACGACGATGATGAGCTGGACAGCCACCTGGCAGCGGCGGTGCAGGCAGTAGGTGGGTGTGGTTGGTGTGGGACGAGCGGTGGAGCAAGAGCGGCAGCAGCGTCAGGCGAGCGCCTCTCCTGCCCGCCGCCCACGCCGCCGGCCGCACCCCCGCCTCCCGCCTGACGCTGCTGGTGCTGCTGCTGCGGCTGCTGTGGTGTTGCAGAGGAGGAGAAGAAGGCCAAGGCCACTAAGTTTAAGCTGCCCAAGGCCTTCCAGCGCCCCGGCTCCCGCGGCTCGCAGGCGGCGACGCCTGCGCCTGCCGCGGCTGGCGCTGGCGGCGATGCGGGCGAGGCTGGCGACCTGCCCAGCCCAGGCAGCGACGCCGGCAGCGGCAGCGTCTTTGCGGCGGCCTCCGCAGCCGGCGGCAGCGGCCAGAGCGGCGGCGAGTTCGACCCGGTGAACGCGCTGCAGGATTTTTACGGCCCCGGCGCCGGCCCAGCCCCTGGCGCCGACCCCGCCTCCCCAGGCTCCCCCACGCTGTCAGCCGGCCTGCAGTCCCCGCCAGGCTCGCGCAGCGGCGGCGGCGAGCTGCTGAGTCAAGCAGACCTGGTTGACTATCCCTACCTGATTGATGGCGACCCCACGCCCGCAGCCTACCTGCTGCTCTGCTGCGCAGACTACCTGCGCCTTTACCCGGCAGGTGCAGCGGGGTGGGGTGGGAGCTGCTGCCGCACCCTAGACCTGCTTTCTGCATTGCTGGCCGGGGCCGCTTGGCCCCGTGTGCCAGCCTCCCCTGCCCTCGCCCCCACACTATCTTCCTCTCACACACGCGCCACCCCAGCATCCTCAAGCACAATCCTCACCACCCTGCCCTGCCCTGCCCTGCCCCGCCCTCGCTTGCCACAGACAACGTCCGCCTGGGCGACCGCAGCACGGAGCGCAAGGCCTCTTTCGAGGCGGGCCTGTGCTTTGCCGCCCCCTTCATGTCGGTCCACGGCCCCGGGGTGGCCAGCGTGGATGCCTCTGACGCCCTGCAAGTGCACAGCCTGCCCGGGCTGGCGCCGCTGTGCCGGCGGCAGCTGGAGGATAGCCGAGTGCTGGGATTCCGGTGGGCGTGCCAGCCAGCCGCCGCAGCAGCCTCCTGCTGCTCCCTGGACGGCCAGCTGGTGCTGGTGGCGCCTGGAAACGAGGTGGCGCGGCTGGCGGTGGTCGCAGACTGCGCCCTGCCCGCCGCGCCGGCAGCCGTGTACAGCCTGCGAGTGGCTCAAGCCGCGGCGGCCGCTGCGACTGCGCGGCGGCCAGCCGGCGCCGGCGGCGCGGCCGCCGCGGGCGGCTATCCGGTGCGGGTGGAGGCGCCGGCTGCCACGGCGACGGAGGCCGGCGGCGACGACGGCGGCTCCGCGTCGCCGGTGGGCGCCGGCGCGGCAGCCAAGGGCTTTGGCCGCTTCTTTGACCAGGCAGCCTCCACCGTGACTGGGCTGGCCAGCACCGCCATGCAGGTGGGTTGGGAAGGTGTGGTGGCTGCGGGCATGGGAAGGCGTCGCGGGGTTTGGGCATGGCAAGGTGTTGAGGGGCATGGGCCACAGGGAGCAGAAGCAGCTGCCGCCGCTCTGTGGTCTGCGCTTCTGCTGCCTGCCTTCCACCCGTGGTTGCCTGTTGTCTCCTCCCTCCCCTGGCTGTGCTCAGGAGCTGGACCGGGCTCGCGCGGCGGGCCAGACGGCGCTGCAGCGGCTGGGCACGGCGGCGGCGGGCGAGGCGCCGTCGCGCGCGCTGCCCCCGCTGGCCGTGCTGTTTGCCACGCCGGTGGAGCCCCTGGAGGATGATCTGGAGTACATGCCTGAGAGGTGGGCTTTGTGATGTGGCTGTATCAGCAGTGCTGCATTTGTGGAGTGTCTGGCGGTACAGGTTGGTGGTGGAGAGTGTGTGCGTGGGTGTGTGGTTTGGGGGGCATCGCTGGGCTCTTCCTCATCTTTTTTGTATCTCTCCCGCTGCTGCAACGCCTGCAGCGACGCCGCCTCCGAGGCCGCCTCCAGCAGCAGCGGCGCAGCGCCGTCGGCGGCCGCCGCGGCCGGCGGGGCGGTGGTCGCCGGCGCGGCGGCGGCGGCGGCGCCGCCGCCGTCTGCTGCGCCGCCCGCCCGCAAGGCCCCCCACTCTTTGGTGTCCCCCCGGGAGGCGGCAGCCAAGCTGAAGAACCTGCTGCCTGTGGGGCGCAGCAAGAGCGAGCGGGCAGAGCTGCTCGAGCGAGACGCGGCGGCGGCCGCCGTGGCCGGCGGCGGCAGCAGCAGCGCGCGCAGCCCGGGCGGCGGCGGCGGCGGCGGCTGGACCGGGGCCGGCAAGGACAAGCCCGGCACGGCGTCCTACTCCCGCAGCGCCTCTGAGATCAAGCGGGCCTACGGCCGGCCGGGCGCCAGCAGCAGGCACGCCTGGGCCCGCACCCTCCCCCTCGCACTGCCTTCCCTCTCATACCCTCCCGTCTCCTTCCCTCTCGTACCCTGCCCTGTCTCCCTCTCCACACGCCGCCTTCGGATGCTACGCTCACCCCCTGCCCCTCGCTTGCCACCTCCCCGCGTGCAGCGCGGCTGGCGCCAAGGCGGGGGACGTGAGGGGCGTCATGGAGCAGAACCAGCGCATGCTGGCGGAGCGCGGAGAGCGGCTGGCGGCGTTGGACGAGCGCACGGCGGCGATGCAGGGCGACGCAGAGGACTTTGCGTCCATGGCGCGCAAGCTGGCGGAGATGCAGGCCGCCAAGAAGTGGTACCAGCTGTGAGGGGGCAGCCTGCGGTGCGGGCCTGCTGAAAGGGGGCGGCGCTGCCGCATCCGCGCGCCGTGCCACGGCGCAGTTTTTATAAAGAGACTGATCCCATTCGGCCCGTATCTCGCTCTGAGGGCACCGTGTGCCGGTCGGATCGAACGTGCGCTGCCTGCCTCGCCTCGCTTGTAACCCCGACAGGTGGCCAGTTCAGAGACGGGTGCGGCGGGCGGGCGGCGGTGGAGAGCGCTTCGCTGGCACGCCACATGGCGGCGGTGTCCATCCCATCATCGCCTGATAGGGCTGCATCCGGCGATACATCAAGAGGATCGCTCTTCAACCAGGTCGTCCTGTAGCCGCAGCAGGCTGTGCGAGGCGAACGGAACGGCAGAACGGCAGCCTTCCTCTGCTAGCAGCAATCAATCAGGCGAGGCCGGCCTGCGACTTGCACGGTGATCCGTGAGATATTGCGGCCGGCAAAGGACGGGGGCGGCATGGCCACCGCCGCTGCCGCCACCCGCCTGCCAGCGCAGCTCGGCCATTCGAGAAGCACCCCAGAGCCAATCCAGATCAGACAGCTCATCCAAACACTTTCTTGTTCTCTGCATCGCGCTCTACCCCATCCCAGGGCTGCAGCAAGCAGGCAGGCAAAGATGGCGGCGGCGGCCGCGGGCGGCGACGGCCCCTCCGCAGCTCGCCGCTTCAACTCCACCTTCTCCTCGCTGCCAACCACTATCTTCGAGCAGATGAGCCTGCTGGCGGCCAAGCACCAGTCCACCAACCTGGGGCAGGGCTTCCCCGATAATGAGCTGGAAGGGCCGGAGTCGATGAAGAAAGTGGTCAGCAGGCAAGCCAGGGGCCCCCGGGGTGCCGTGGCCTTCCAAAGCAGGATGGCGTGGTCCTGCCTCTGCGCTGCGTCCTGGCGCTCCATCCCCTGTGCCGCCTTCTTCACGCGCCGGGAGCAGATGATGTGGCTGATGGCCGGCTCCGGGGCCCCTGTTGTGGTCCCTGCTGCGCAGCTCCCTGTACGAACACTCCAACCAGTACCCGCCGCTCATGGGCCTGCCCGAGCTGCGGCAGGCAGTGGCGGCGCACAGCGCGCGCCACGCGGGCATCCCGGTTGACTGGCAGGCGGAGACGCTGGTGACAGTGGGCGCCACCGAGGCGCTGGCGGCGGCCTTCCTGGGGTTGCTGGATGCTGGGGATGAGGTGCGTCTTCGCCCCTGGGGGCTGCCAGTGCTGGTCTAGGGCTGGGCTGGGATGGGCAGCGGGGTGGAGGGAGAGCAGCAGCTCTTGCCCACCGCCTGGGCCACCGTCCCTAATCCCCGAGCGCTGCATGTTTGTGTGTGTTGCTGCCCGGCCCTGCAGGTGATCTTCTTCGAGCCCCTGTACGATTCTTATGTGCCCATGGCGCGACGGGCGGGAGCAATACCGCGGTAGGCACATCGACCTGACGCAGTTGCTAGATTCAGAGTAGCAGCCGAGTAGCAACACCCTGGCAAAGCAAGCAGCGGGGTGAACAGCCGCTGCTCGGGTGCGCCTGGCCTGCAGGATCGTGCAGCTGTATCCGCCCGCCTGGAGCATAGATGCAGCGGAGCTGGAGGCAGCGTTCAGTCCCCAGACCAAGCTGCTAGTGCTCAACACTCCGCACAACCCTACCGGCAAGGTTGGTTGGCGGGAGATGCGTTGTTAGTAGGGGCCGCAGCAGGCTTGCACCGGCTCACTCGTGCTGATGCACATGTGCAGGTGTTTGGGGCAGAGGAGCTGCAGCTGATTGCCGACCTGTGCCAGAAGCACGACTGCCTGTGCCTGCTGGATGAGGTATGTGGTTGTGGGAGGGGCTGTTCCGCCCTCTGTCTGCGCTTGCTGTTTTTCTCTCTCCCTGGCCTGCTTGCCTGCCCGACACGCCGTCCCTGGCATCTAGTGCCAGCATGGATGGAAACGTATTGGCTGCAGGTGTATGAGCACTTGGTGTTCCCCGGCACCCGCCATACCAGCCTGCAGAGCCTGCCAGGCATGCGGGAACGCTGCTTGCGGGTAGGCTCCGCCGGCAAGACCTTCAGCTTCACTGCTTGGAAGGTGGGGGCCTCCCACCTACCGTGAGGAGCAGGCGCACGTGCTGGCATGCCGGGCGCCAGGCAATCACCCACACCACTCGCAAGCACCGCTGAGACTGACGCCCCTCTTGGGCCACGCTCTGCCTGGGTGTGCGCAGGTGGGATGGCTGTCAGGCCCGCACGATTTACTGGCAGCAGTGACCAAAGCGCACCAGTTCCTGATCTTCACCGTGCCATCAGCACTACAGGTGGGCTCCCATTGTGGCCGGCCAAGCGCTGGGTGCCCCCTGCACTAGGAGGCTCCATGGCCTGCGCGTGCCCCAGCACCACAGCCACTTTGGGTCACATACACCAGGGCCAGCAACCATGACCAAGTGGGCCGCAGTTTGAGGTGTTGCCTGCCTCCCCTGGTCCAATGTTTACGCCTGCCCGCGTTGGTGCTGACTGTTGCGCAGCGGGCGGTGGCATATGGGCTGGAACAGGAGGAAGCTTTCTGTTGCGGGCTGGGGGCGGCACTGAGCAAGAAGCGGCAGCTGCTGGAGGGCCAGCTGGCAGAAATTGGGTTCGCAGTGCTGCCCGCCCAGGCGAGTGCCTGCACTGTTTGCAGCTGGGCTGCCTGGACCCATGCCCGCCTTACCCGCCAGCCAGGAAGCAGCGAAATGCATGCGCTTGCTGGTGGGAAAGGCTGCTGCATGGTGCCCAGTCCAGCTGCAATCCCATGTGCGCCCCCTTGCGTGTCATGCAGGGGACGTACTTCCTGGTGGCAGACTTTGCGGGGCTGCTGCCGGCCGGTAGCAGCGAGGACGATGTGCAGTTCTGCCACCGGCTCACGGTTGAGGCAGGGGTCACCCTCATCCCTGTCAGCGCCTTCTACGCCGACAGGTGAAGGGGTAGGGCAGGCTGTATCTAACGAGGGGTTCATACAGATGGCTAGAGGCCGGCTACCTGGCACGACGGGCCGTGCAGCGGGGCGGAGGGGGCAAGCTGGCCTTTCTTTGTTGTTTGTTTACCGCTGCCCCGCCCTGCCTGCAGGGCCGCCACGCCGCGCACCCTGGTCCGCTTTGTGTTTTGCAAGACTGACGAGAAGCTCAACACGGCCTGCGGCAAGCTGCGCACCTACTTCGGCCGGCAATAGCAGCTGGGGGCAGCTGCGTGTGTGTGTGTGTGTTTTACAGGGATTGGGCACATTAATGTGCTGGGGCCGGACCCGCTAACCCTTGCCGGCTGTCCAGAGCGAGGAGAATCTGGCCGCCGATGGCATCCCGGGGAGGCTCCGTCTTGCAAGCGCCATGCCGATCTGCCGGGCAGCCGTCCGCCGCCCACATGCCGCCACGACGGTGCCGTGAGGCAAAGTCCCAGCCAGTGTTCCGGCTGGGGTTCGAACTCGTGCCTGTTGGTATCACCCACCGGCACTCATCCATGCTCCCGGGGTCCGGCGGGGGCGGCGCTGGCGGCAGCTCGTACCGCTGGGCCAGTGGCTTACGAGAGCATGCGAACACCGTGCATCTGTGCTGATCAGCATTAGCAGGGACGAGTCGCTGAGGCGCGGCGGGTACTGAATGTCTCACATGAAGATTTAACTTTAGGAAGCTGCCCGCCATGCCGCCACCTCGCCAGCGGCGCGAAGTGCAGTAGCCACCCGAGGTGCCCCCATACCAATTGGCCTCTCATGGCCTAACATGCTTCTTGCAACCTGAACACCTGTCCCTGACCAACCCTGGTTGCTGGATGGGTTAAGTGTAGTTTCTCGAGAAGAGTGCGTGATTTCTTGAGAAATCAGTGAACACTCTAGAGGATGAATGGGCTGTATACTCCCATCGCTGGGGACCTCACGGTGGCCAGCGACCCATTCCGAGGGGCGTCCACCACTTTGCAGGAGCACCGGAACGAGGAGCTGCACGACCTGCAGGTGCGTGGGAAAGTGCGAGAGGGAATTGACAAAGAGACGCCAAGGGGGGCACATTCATGCAACCTGCCGCCGCCAGCCGGCGGTGGTAGCTGGGAAGGGCCAAACCCACCCTGCCTGCCGTCGCGCCGCGCAGGAGGCGGCCCTGACCAGGAATGCCAAGCCCAAGCCCTCCGTAGTGACGGAGGGGCCCTTTGGGCCGGATGGGGCCGCGTCCTGGCGGCGCCTCGTACGCCGCAAGTCGATGCGGGAGGCTCTGGTGCTTGAGATCAGCAGGCAGGCCAAGGAGGAGGAGGACCAGGTGATGAGCCTGATGATTCGGGTGCGCCAGCGCTTTGACCAAGCCGGCGTGCCCATGCAAGACGTCCAGATCCGCTTCCGCAACCTGTCGGTGGTTGGCATGGCGGCGGTCAAGCACCCCACGCGGTCAGCCAAGGGGCTGCTGGTGGAGGCGGCACAGGCGAGGCGCCGCAGTGCCTGTTCAGCTTGACTGGGCTGCCAATGGGGGCCACCGAAACCAGTCTGGATGCTGCCCTCTCAGGCACCACCTGCCCAGTGGCTCGCTCCCCTCTGTTCCTGCCTGCAGCAGCTGCGGCACGCCCTCAGCGGCATCCCCACCCGCGGCATGCGGGAGGTACGTGTGCTGGACGGCATCTCCTCTGTGCTGAAGCCAGGGCGCCTCACGCTGCTGCTGGGCCCGCCTGGCAGCGGCAAGACCTCCCTTATGAAAGCCCTCTCAGGGCAGCTGAAGCGGGACAAGGGGCGCAAGGTGGGGCTGGAACATCTGTGGCTGGAGGGGTGCATGGCTGGGTGCTGGAGGCGGGCACGTTGTGGTCCCTAAAACCAAGCCGCCGTTCCTGCTGGTGCCATGCCAAAGCAGGTTGTGGCCGACGAGCTGACCTACAACGGGCTGTCCTTTGGGGAGTTTGTGGTGGAGAGGTCTGCGGCCTACATCAACCAGAACGACATCCACTTTGGGGAGCTGACGGTCACGGAGACCCTGCGCTTTGCCGCGCTGTGTCAGTCCTCACGCACCCGCGTCCGTGAGCGGCAGCAGACGTGCCCTGCTACCTGCCAGACTGCCTGCCTGACGCTGCTGCTGCGCCCGGGCCTGCGCCGTGCTCAGCTCGCTCCCTCATACCCTGCATCTGCCCTCTCTGTCCATGTCTGGCTGCCGCTGTGTGTGCAGCCGCCGAGAAGCTGCTGGAGGAGAAGGAGCAGGAGCTAGGCATCATCCCAGACCCTGCTGTCGACACCTACATGCGAGCCATGGGCCAAGGCTACCGCCTGGCTGCCGACATTGCCGTCAAGGCGCTTGGCCTGGAGGGATGCGCCAACACTCTGGTGGTGCGTGGGCAGGGCTCAGGGCAGGGCTCCACCTGGCAAGTTGCTGGGCGTGGCCTGGCCGGGCCAGGCATGGAATCAAGCCGCAGATCGGCTGGCGGCCAGGGCAAACTGGCTGATGGCGCGTGCCGCCTGCCTTGCTGCAGGGCAACTCCATGATCCGCGGCATATCGGGGGGGCAGCGCAAGCGTGTGACGTCTGGCGAGATGCTTGTGGGGCCTTCCAAAGTTCTGTTTGCTGACGAGGTAAGGCTGCTGATGTGGCGCTGGCACCCATGATGCTGAGGTGGCAGAGGCATTACATGCATGCATTGCATGCATGCACCGTCGCCTGCGTGCTCGCTGCTCACAGCCTGATCCCGCCATCCACGCATGCCGCTCTGATGCGCCCTGCGCTGCCGTGCCGCTCCCGCAGATCTCCACCGGCCTCGACTCGGCAACCACCTTCGAGATCTGCAACCGCCTGCGTGCCTTGTGCCACATTGTCAGGGTGCGCACCCCATGGGCTGCCCTGCGTCGACAAGGGCAGCACCAGCTGCTGCTGGCGTGGCATCGGCGCTTGTCAAGCCATCGGGTGTGCACCCAGCAGGCACCAGCTGGCGTGCTGCTTGCCTGCCAACTGCCCTGCAGAGCACGATCCTTGTATCTCTTCTCCAGCCCACCCCCGAGACCTACGGCTGCTTCGACGACGTCATGGTGAGCTGGCAGCGCTCAGCGCCAGCTCAGCAACTTAAATTCACGCACTGCCCACAGTGCGCTCCTCAGGCGCCTGCTGATGGCAACTCTCACCTCCTGCCAGCAGTGACTTTCCACGTACTGCCAGTGCCCTGCCCGCCACACTGCTAGCTTCTCCCTGCCAGCCGTCCTGGCATCCTGAACCCAGCGCCCCCACGCTCCCTGCCCAACCACCTCTTCCCTGCTCCCTGCAGCTTCTGTCTGGCGGTATTCTGGTGTTCCACGGCCCTCGGGAGCTCATCCTGCCCTTCTTTGAGTCCCAGAGCTTCAAATGCCCCGATGACAAAGGCGCAGCAGACTTCCTGCAGGAGGTCACCACCGGCGGCGAGCAGCGGGTGGGTTGCCCTCCTGCCTGCAGCTGCCTGCTGCCAGTCCCAAGGCTGCCTTGCTGCCTGTCCAGCGTGCTGTCGCCCCTCCCATCACATCCTCCTGCCCCCTGCTCACTGAACCATGTGTTTGGCACTTTGCTGCAGATGTACTGGGCTGGGAAGGGCGAGTACAAGTATGTGTCGGATGCTGAGCTGGCAGACGCTTACCGGGCCACCGAGACCGGCCAAGCCTTTGCTGAAGAGCTGAAGCTGTCGCCGGAGGAGGAGGTGCAAGGGCACGGCGAGCTGGCGGTGCACACGTGAGCAGGGAGGGCGGAGGAGAGGGCGCTGGCGGCCCAGCCACCTGGCAAGCTGTCGGCATCTGTTGATGCCCTCCTGTCCAGCCGCCAGCATGCGCCATGGCAACAGTGGCATGCCGTTCCCTGCCCCCATGTGCTCCTGCTCAACCCCCCCGCTGCCGCAGGTACGGACAGGACCAGTGGACGCTGTTCAAAGCCTGCCTCGGCCGCCAGACCAAGCTGTTCATGCGCAACAGAGCATTCATCGCGATCCGCATGTTAGGCTGCGTGCCAGCCATGGGTGCCAAGTTCCCCTTGCCTGTCAGGAACCTTGCAGGGTGTCCCGCCTTCCACCTTGCTGCTACCTGCCACTCTGAGAATCCCATCCTCTGCCCCCAACCGTTCCCCTGTGGTCCCGCAGAGGGCAGTGCATCATCATGGGGGTCGCCGTCGGCACTCTGTTCTTGCAGCAGGGCCGCGACACACTGGCAGATGCCCAGGCGAGCGTGCCATGCATCGCCTGGCATTGCCGACATGAGTGCGCTCCTGGTGCCGTAGCGGCTCACTGCGTCAGTTGGCGCTTGCACTGGCAGTGGTCGATCGCAGGTGCCAGATGGCAGGGCGAGCTTGGCACGCCGCTCCTCTGCGCCTCAGCCACGCTGAGCTCGAGCCTGCATATGTCTGACCCCCCATGCTCGTCTGTCCTCCTCCTGCCCCTGCAGATGTACTTGAGCGTCTCCTTCTTCTCCATCATGACCCAGTTCATGGTTTCCTTTGCCGCCCCCGGCCTGCTCATCGAGCGCCTACCCACCTACTACAAGCACCGCGACGCACACTTCCACCCCGCATGGTGGGCCGGCAGCCGCCGGGTCTCTTGCTTCTGTCTTGGCGGTGCACCCCCCCTCCAGATGCCCCCCCTGCACTGCTGTTTGAAGAGAGCTTAACGGGCACCCGCCATTGCCGCCACCCGCGCCCGCAGGTGCTTTGCGCTGCCCGAGATCCTGCTGCAGATGCCGCTCATCGCCACGGAAGCCACCATCTGGACGGCGATGATTTACTTCATGGTGAGCGGCATTTCGCTTGGCGCGATGAATCATGCACTGCTATGCCTCACAGCGCACATGCGCACTCGTGCAGCACCACCATCATCCCCCTCCCCGCTCCCCTGGTTCGCCCCCCTGCCCAGGTCGGCTTTGTCGTCTCTGTGCGCCTGCTGGTGTTCTGGGGCATCATGTTTGTGGCGGGCGTCTGTGGCCTCTCCCTCTTCTTCCTGCTCGCCGTCTTTGCCAAGACGATCACCGTGGCGGCGGCGCTGCAGGTGGGCAGCAGCCAGGGTAGCTGAGATCCTGCTTCTCTCAACAGGAAGCCTGGCATGCATGCAACCGTGCACGGCGCTCGCCACCTGGCGCCTGCCCAAGCCAGCCAGCCGTGGGCAGGCTGTCCCATGCCGCCTGCGCTCCTTCTAACTGTAGAACCTGTGCATCCTGATCTTCACAATCTCTTCTGGCTTCATTGTGAATTTTGACGATCTGAATGGTCCCTGGAAGGGCGTGTGTGAGTGTGCGACAGCAAGCCGCGTAAGGCTGGCAGCCTTGAGGGAACCCCTGCATGCACGCAGTGATTCCGGCCCGGCACGCTGCTGACTTTCTAGAACAACGTGGACACCGCCGCCGCTTCGCCACTGCAGGGTACGCCAACCCGGTCGCCTACTTTTTGCAAGCTCTGGCGGTCAACGAGCTGGAGTGCGAGAACTGGGACACCCCCGCGCGGGGCGACTCGGGCCTCACCCAGGGGCAGCTCTTCCTGGAGCAGCGAGGCTATTTTCTTGGATACCACTGGGTGTGGCTGGGCCTGATCGTCTGGGGCATCGGCTCCACCCTGCTCAACACCTCCCTCTTCATGACAGTCTCCTCCTTCCTCACCACTGGTGGCCGCAAGCAGGTGGCATTCAACAGGGCCAACGAAGGTAGGCACAGGATTTTTGAAGGTATGCCATGCCAGAGCACAGCAGGCAGGGGATGCTACCCTGCATGAGCAAAGGTGCCCGCTCATCTTCCCGACCTGCACCATGCTCCTGCCTTCTGCGCGTGCCGTGCAGATGCCAGCTCAGCAACAGGCGGGAAGGAAGTAGAGAAGGATGCCGCAGAGCATGCCATTGCTGCTGCCGGCGACGCCGAGGAGGGCGGCGTGGCGCCCTCTGGCGGCGGCGGGAAGTCTGCGCTGCCCTTCACCCCCGTGCGCATGACATTTCAAGACCTCAAGTATTCGGTTCCGCTGCCCTCGGTACGCCCTGGGGCGCTGGAAGCACGGCTTGAGTTCCCCCGACATGTGCTCAGCCAACCGCAATGCTGGCTGCAGGGCTATGAGTCCATCGGGGCCGACGACGATTCGAGCGACCCGCACGCCGGCCGCCTGCTCCTGCTCAGGGGCATCAGCGGCAGCTTCCGGCCCGGCGTGCTGACCGCGCTGATGGGCTCTAGCGGCGCGGGGAAGTCTACGTTGATGGACTGCCTCGGGTCAGCGACTTTGTTTGCCTGCTGCGATCGCTGCTCTTGCCCTCTTTCGCCGCCGCCGCCGCCGCTGCCGCCGCCGCTGCCGCCGCCGCTGCCGCCACCTCTTCTGCTGCCGCCACCTCCGCTGCTGCTGCCCTCCTCTGCTGTTGCTGCCAACTCCAGCCTGCTGCCATGCTGCTGCGGACGCGAGGCACTGCTGCCTCATCCCGCAGCCCCTCCTGGTGTGTACTGCCACCCCCTGTACTTCTCGCAGTACCGCTGGCCGCATTACACACACCTACACCCCTCCCTATTTTCAAGTCATAATTTTAAAGTGTCGTAAGAGGCATCTATTTTCCTGAAACCCCCTTCTGGGAGCCCGTCTCGAGCCGCCGCCAGCCGGCCCGCCTGCGCCGCCGCCGCTCACAGATCGCCCGTGGCGGAGCGCATGATCCAGCTCCTCAGCCGCCTCCTCCGCCGCCGTAACCGCGGCCCCATCCTTTTCTCTGCAGCCTGCGGAAGACGGGTGGCAAGATCACTGGCGACATCCGCGTGAACGGCTTCCCGCAGCAGCCTGCCACCTTCAACCGTGTGATGGGGTGGGAGCAGCTGTGCGCCACAGCTGCCTGGCTGCATCTGCCACGTGCATCTGCCTGAGGCGTGGCCTCCATGCTAGATGCTGGCAACAGTGCATCAGTGCATCACCCTCCACTTTGTTGATCCTGCAGGTATGCCGAGCAGTTTGATATTCATGTGGCAGAGGCCACAGTGCGAGAGGCCCTCATGTTCTCCGCACGCCTGCGCCTTCCAAAAAGCGTGCCAACCACCGCCGCCGAGGCATTTGTGGAAGAGGTGGGGATTGGTGTGGTTTGTGGGTATGAGCCGGTGTCGGCTGCAGCCTAGTCGTGCAGGAATGCCTGAAGCTGGGCGCTACACATGCAGCGGAGAGTTCTTGTCCTGTGCCTGCGAAGATTGCTTTCAGGGAGTTTATGGAGCTCCCAACAGCAATGCTGCCTATGGGCGGCAATTTGATGCTGCGCACAGGCTACGCGTTCCTGTCTCCCTCACTGCCTCTTCTGCTCAGATGATGGACGTGGTGGAGCTTGGCCGCCAGCGGGATGCCATTGTGGGGCTGCCCGGAGTGAATGGGCTGAGCGTGGAAAAGCGCAAGGTAGGGAGGCATTCCGTTTTCCTGGGCGGTGCTGCGGGGCTGCTATGCTGCTGCCGCACTTCAGCTGCTGCCAATCTGCTTCGCAAGTCGCTGCCCCCTTTGGTGGCACCTGCGCCCGTGCTCACGCGCCAAGAGTGCACGCCCTGCCTGCAATCAACCCTTTTGCGTGCAGCGCCTCACGATTGCAGTGGAGCTTGTGGCCAACCCGAGCATTGTTTTCATGGAGTGAGCGCAGATGCTGTGCTGCAGTTCTCTCGGCCGGTGTGCTGCACTGCTGGTTCTGTGTCTGCCTGCCAGACCCTTCCTGAGTCCCTCAACCACAGGCTGACCAGCCTGCTCCCTGCCCTGCCCTGGCGCAGCGAGCCCACCTCGGGGCTGGATGCCCGCGCCGCCGCCATTATCATGCGCGCCGTGCGGCGCATCACCAGCACTGGCCGCTGCGTGGTGTGCACCATCCACCAGCCCTCCTGGGACGTCTTCAAGGTGGGGCGTCGTGCCAGCTGGCGGCAGGGTGCCCCCGTGACGGGTGCCTCCTGGCCTCCCTGCTTCGTCGTCACTGACAGCGCCTCCCAGCCCATCAATTGATGGCCCATGCCCGCCGAGCCTGCCTGCTGCTGCGCCTGTAGGCTTTTGATGAGCTGCTGCTGCTGAAGCGCGGCGGCAGCACCATCTTTGCTGGGGAACTGGGTACAGGGGCCTCCAACCTGGTCTCCTACCTCCAGCAGTTCAAGGCGGTGACCCCCATCACAGCAGGGTGCGGCAGCTACACTGCTTGCATGGCGTTCGTGTGCTGCACTCTGCGCTATTGGGATGCAGCGGGTGTGCTGCTCCTGCTGGGGGGTGGCATGCTCCATGACAGCTGCCCGTAGCTGCGATCACAAGGGCTCGAGATGCGGCCACACCAACCTAGCATCAAGCCCTGCCTGCCTCGCCTGCAGCTACAACCCCGCCACCTGGATGCTGGAGGTGACGTCAGCCCAGGTGGAGGCCGAGTCTGACCTGAACTTTGCCGATTGCTATGCCATGAGCAAGCTGGCAGAAGCAAACGACAGGGCTGTCGCCTCCCTGCAACGGTCATACCATCCAGAACACACCGGATCCCATCAGAACTCCGAAGTTAAGCTGGATTGGGCTGGATTAGTACTGTGTTGAGGGATCACACGGGAATCCCTAGTGCCGTTGTGTTTAGGCCGCGGCCAAGAAAGGCCTTCTTTGAAGCTCTTCCCGTTGTAGCAGTCAAACTCCTGCGCATTCATTCATTCAGCACACAGCCCGGCCGCCTCTTGCTCGAGGGCGGCCCACTTTGGCCTGGGCAGCCCGGGCCGCCCTCCCCCCCGGGCGCATGTTCGGTGTTGGAGGGGTGTGCCCAGCGATAGGGGGCCCCTGAAGGCATGCGCCGAGGCCGGGAAGCGTGGTTCGGCGCTGCTGCACGCTTGGCGATTTGACCAGAACCACGTGCCGCCGAGTTGCGGCCGCAGTTTCCGGCCCACGGTCTACGGTCGCAGCCACGGGACTCGGCGGCACGGCGTTTGGGCCCAAGCTTGCTGCCGCCGCCGCCGTGCCCGGGGGGCAGCGCGGCGGCGGCGGCGGCACGCTGCGACGCCCCCGTGCTGCCGAGCTGCGGCCGTAGTTTCCTGCCAGAAGCCCACGGCCACAGCCACGGGACTCGGCGGCACGGGGTTTCGGTCCACGGCTTGCTGCCGCCGCCGTCGCAGGGGTGCTGCCTGCGGCGGCGGCGGCACGGCGTTTGGGTCCACGGCTTGCTGCCGCTGCCGCCGCCGCAGGGGTGCTGCCTGCGGCGGCGGCGGTAGCGCACGTGGCAACCCCCCGCGTTTCCTTGCCTCCCATCCACCGGACCCCGTCCTGCGCTTCACTTTGTTTAGGGAGGGGCTGCTCACTGCTCATTGCTCATTGCTCATCGCACACTGCTCAACGCTCATTGCCCTATATCCCACC